TACAGTGACAGCTGTCTCAAATTGCTACCCAATTTAAAAAGCTATAAGTTGGCAAATTGACCTTGAAACATTCCCAGCAAAACTGGGTATAGTTAGGCCAAGAAAGGTTGAAGCTGAAAAATAATTTGGGGAGATCTGCACTCAGGCTTTTGTTAGGTTGCAGGAATAGTAACTTGAACCTCTAGGTCAATGGTTCTCAAAGTGTGGTCCCTGAAGTAGCAGCACTAACATTACTTTGGAAACTTATAGAAATGCAAATTATTTGGCCCTAGTCCAGACCAAGACCGGTGTTTCTCAAACTGTAGGTGCATAGGAACAACCTGACCAGCAGATTACTACATAGATTCCTTGGTCCCATAGAGATTCTGATTTAGTTGATCTGTGTTGGGAACCAGAAATTTGCATTCCTAACAAACTTGAATGTTGAATAAATCCCATAGTAACTTACCAATTAATTTTTCAGGAATGAACAATTAAATGAATGAACTTTTCTACAGGACAAGGGTTTGGATAGGGCAATGGATAGGTATAGCAGATGGTTAGAACTGAAGAATCACAGGAGACAGATCAAATATTCTGAGTCAGAAGATTTGGTAGTCAGGTTTGATCTAGAGAGGATAGGGTTTGCATAATGTACTCATGTTGGGAAATGGTGTGGAATTTCCCTTAGCAGTCTCAGTATGGTTTTTATCCATTCTATATCAAGTAGGTGTCAGATATGATAAGGGAGTTGACCATTTAAGATCTGCAATTGCAATTAGTTTTATCACAAGATGAAAGAGGGAGCTGGGAGAAATTAATTTTTAATATTCAAATTCATATAATTTTTTTCACTAAGTCATTCCCAAAATAGGTTTGACCAAAATCCTAAATTCTAAATTCTCTTGCTTTCCTGTCAGCAGAAAATAGCACTGCCAGCACACAAAATCATCATCATGGTTTCATGGTATTAAAAAATAAAATTCCAAAAATAAATATTTAAAACTTAGAAAAAGTTGAATGCAAAATATATTATGGTCTTTAAAAAAAATTCCATGCCCCATGACAACTTTCTACTAGTTTCTATTTTCTTCCCAAATTTAGAAAGAAATGCTGATGTCACATTTTCAAATTCAATTGAACATATTTGTCTCCCAGAACAAAGGATCAGAAATATATTGTGTATGTTCTTTGTAGTTTGAAGGTCATGTTTAACAAAAACAAATACTTCTATTGCAGAATTCAGAAATTCACAGGAAATTATTGTATCTTGTGGTAATAGGTTTAGAGCAACTTTTCATTTTCTTTCAACCAGAGACCAGGAGATTCATAGAATTATAGAGTGAGGAGGGACCCATGGGAAGAAGAAGCCTTTGCATTCAAATTGGGGAAGGAAGAAATAAACAAAGAGAGAAATGATTCAGCACAGACAGTAAAAGGTAAACAAAGCTGCAACCCTCCAAACCTCTAAATTATAGAGAACCTTGGGGAGTATCTCCACTTTACTGGCGTTATTTATTTTTCAATTAGTCAAGGATATTAGAAATGTTGCTTAAATGTTGACTTAAGAATCTCTTCCTTTGGATTTTTCCAGAAACAGATCCAAAATAAGGATTCAGATCTAAGTAGTTTATTTGGAAGGTGATGTCAAGAAACACCAGTGGGGAAGTAAGGAAGACAGAGAATGGAAGGCAATCAATAAAAAGCACTTTATCAAGTGTTGAATCTTGCTAGAGAACACTGCAACCTGTAGAATAGGTTGCCGAAAATTCTCCCACCAACTCTTACAAAAGTCATTGATGAAAGCAGGTGGGGCAGAAATTATTCTCTAGCACTGAATTTTTTTTTTTTTTTTAAATAGTAGCATGGCATTTTTTTTTTTTGTTTTTTAAAGATTTATTTATTTATTTATACATATAAGCACTGGGTACAGTCAGAAGCGTGGGAGGGTGAGAGAATTCACCAGAGCCAGAGCAGGGAGCAGAACAGGCAGAAGGACCAAAGTACACTGCTGAGGGGAGAGGTGGGCGACAGGAGAGGTCTGCGCGCCATGTGGGACCCTCCTCAGGTGGCCGGGGAGCAGCCGGGGATCGAACTGGCGCTGCAGAGGCTGCGGGCAGCTTCGCAACCCAGCGCTCAACCGCTGCGCCACCGGGGAGGCCCCTGTGGCACTGATTTTATCTGCCATGCCTGGTTCAACTCAGAGACAATTATGGAGCTCAGAAAGTGTTTCTCTCTCTCTCTCTCTCTCTCTCTCTGTCTCTCTCCAGATAGACGTGTTATCACCTGTGCCTGCCCCTGACTCTATTCAACTTGTGCCCACATCCCTGTAATGAGCAGAGCATGGCAGAAGTCACTGGGTCAGGGTAGGAGAGAAATCAGGATGAGGGACCGTATATAAATGGAGGTTTCAAGACCCTTATACATGCTCTGTTGCCCCACTGAACTTCACTTAAAGGACAGAAAGTTAAAGATAAACTTACTAAACATTTCAATATAGAAAATGCAAAACTGCACAGAATTAACCCCCAAGCTTGGGGCCCTTTTCTGAGTACAAGGCCCTGAAGAACTGCACTGGCCATACCCCCTCGCAGCCAGCCCTGATTCAAAAAGCCAGATGAGCCCTCTGGCAGAGAAGAGGATGCAGGTAGCTGGAGAATGGGAGAGACTGTGGTGCTAAAAATTCATGGAGTTTTGGGTGGAACACCAGTAATGCATGCTACAGGTTCAAAGATTGGAAATGCAGACCCCTTTTCTAGCAATTAATTTTGCTTTTCAAATGAGAAAACAGGAGATTTTTTAATTGACCCTGAAGAGAGTTACTCCAATTCTTAGAGAGAATCTTTCCTTTCAGCTCACTCCCCTATATTAAGGCCTCACACTACCATGTCTTGTGTTAGCAGCCACACTAAAATATACGGTTTCCCCAAATAGACTCAATCATATATTGAATATATTTGTTAAGCACATTTTATGTCCTGGACACTACGGTAGGTGCTAAAGATAAGTGATAAACAAGAACAACAGGATTCCTACTATAATAGAGATTATATTGCAAGTTTCACTGGAGACATTTTTCTTACATCTCACTGAAATTCTCCTCACATCTTGAAAGCAGTGCTAGTATTTGGAAAAGAGAAGTGATAACCTTATTTCATGTCAATTGCAACCCTTGAGAGTTATTCATGAAAATGCAGCAGCTACATTCGCCTACCTTTTAAATCCATTTAGAATCCTTGCTAAGCTATAAATTCAGTGGAAAGTCCCTTGGGTTAATTATAGATTTTGTAAAAATAGTTCTTTCTATTCCTTTTCACAATGACAAGCTCACCAGCATATCATTCTGGATAAACATATAAGCAGTTGTTTCTTATATAATGTGGTTCTTAATTGTCATAAGGTTGCTCTAAAGAGCAAAGCCTTGAAATAAGTCATTGTATCACCCATCTAACTCATAGTGTTCACTTTCTTTTTAAATCAAAGTGAATTATTATTATTATTATTAATTTTTAAGATTTATTTTATTTATACAAGAACTGGGGTAAAGTGGATTGTTATTTTTTAAAAAAAATCCAATAAGTATTTATTAGTGGTCTTTGAATCTATTTTTTTTGTTATTTATTTATTTTAAACATCATTTTTTATTTTTTCACAATACAGGATTTCTCCCTTCAAGTGTGGTCACCATAGTTTTACCACCACCAAAGTGCCCCTACATGGATAGCTATAAAACACTGTTAAAAGCAACAGAAGAAAACGTTAAGAATTGGAAAGATATTCCCTGCTCATAGATTGAAAGAATCAACATTGTCAAAATGACCATCCTTCCTAAAGTAATATACAGATTCAGTGCAATCCCAACAAAAATCCCATGACATCCTTCAAAGAAACAGAACAAAGATCAACTGAATTTCATATGAAATCACAAAAAACCCCAAATAGCTAAAACTCTCCTGGCTAAAAAGGCAGGAAATGGAGTTCTCACCCTGCGGGACTACAGACTAAATCAAAGTGAATTGAACCCAAAACTCAGTCTTTCATTTGGGACCCCATCAGTTAGGATCTTAAAACTGATCCCCATATTTGGATCTTAATTTCTTTTCAGTGCTCCTGTAAAATATGAAGATAATACCCTAGTAATGGTTTCTTTCTCTTATTCCATTGCTAGTATGAAGATTTTAAGAAAAAACGCCTCCATACCAGCAAGGCTTTCAGAACAGTGAAAGAAACATCACTTCATGAGACATAATAATTCTTACTTTGTTCCTAAAAGAAAATGGTCATTGTTTCTTATCTCTGAGGTAATTCTTGGTATGATGGGTGAAATGGCAAGAATAATTGAGAAAAATGGATGTATCACAAAAGCCAAAATACCTCTTTCCTATTACATAAACAATCATCAGCTCTTACTGACAGTTGATATTATATATTCAGAGAAGAGGTGTTTATATTTCTAGTTATAATATGAAAAGCCTCTTATCTCTACTTTACCATATTTGTAGTGATTTAAAATACCATTTGCATCTTGCATTGTGTTACTGTTCACACAAAGATGTAATACATCTTAGAACATACCTATTTAAAATGAGGCTGTTGATTGACCATATTTGTACATGTAATTTTAGAAAATCACAAATAGATTGCATAAGTGAAATCACACAGAGATCTGATTTCTTACTAATATTGAAAAGTACATTGGTAGTTGTATATTATATTTTATTGATAAAATCATATGGTAAGATTTTTTGTGCCATTTTGGAGCTTTTGTTTTCTATATAATAGCAGAAAAATAATTGCAAAAACATTTCACTAGCAAAAAATGACAGTGATGAAAACAACTCCCACTTCTCATTTCTATCTCATTTATAAAATCTCTGAAACCAGGGAAATATGTAAGAAAACCTGGATTAGCTGTACTCTACTTGAATGAAATAAACAATAAAGTAATGTTCACTTGTGTTTTGATGGCTCTTTTTCACATCTGCTATTGCAGAGGCTCCTCTCCCTGCAAAATTTCTCACCGTTATTTCTGAAGATTCCTTAGGGATGTTCTATGAGATTTGATGAGATTTGATCATATGGCACCTTCCATTTTGTATAGCTCCATTTCCTCTGTCTCCTGCATCTCTGGTCTGTGTCTGAGATCCACATGAAGGTGTCTCTGGCTCCCACAGGAATTCTATTGGTCTCCTGTTGGTGATGGGAATGGACATTGTTATTTCTTGCCAGTTATTTCCTTCTCCTATTATGTTCTCCTTCAATGATGTGACAGAGTCCTCTAAAAAATCATAATTTCCACTAATTTTAAAATACCTTCTCTTTCTCCATCCATAAATATACTCTGCAGAGCTTTCACTCTTCATGTACTGAAGAGTCAAACCCTGAATCATCATTGATTCCTTCCTTTCACACCCCATATCTAATCCATAAGTAAACTCTCTTGACTCTACCTTTAAATATATCCAAAATCTGACTAGTTTTCATATCATCTATCTCTATCATCTGAATCCAATTCTCCATTACCTTTTGTGAGGACTATAATAAGTTTCCTAATTGAAGTCCTTGCTTCCAATTTAGCCACTAATACAATCAGATTTTTTTTTTTTTGAATTCAGATCATGGCTCTGCTCTAAATAGTTCAAAGTTCTGTCTCATTCAGGATGAAACTCAAAGGCTTTACCTCATTTTATACAGCTTTCCATAACCTGGTTCCTGGCTACTTAATACTTCATCCTCTTCAACTCCACCTCACTCATTCCCCTGCCCCAGTCCTGTTCCCTATGTCCACACCCCATATGTGCCTTCCTCACTTAATTTTCCGTTCTCTTGCAACTGTCACCTCCTAAGAGAGACTTTTCTTAACCAAGAGACAAAGGAGACCTTTCCCTGTTGACTTACATCACACTCATTTTCTAGTTTCTTAGTTAACTTCATCTCAGCACTTTTTGTCATCTAGTCTATTAAATATTTATTTGATGTATTTATGACATGTTACTTCAAGTAGAAGGTCAGTTCTATGAAGATAGCAACATAACTTGCTTTGTTCACCAATGAATACCCAGTACCTGGCAAATAGTAGGTGTTCAATAAATATGTATTGACTAAATACTGAACAGATAGGTCACCCTTGCTATAGTGAAGGGAACTACTGGAACAAACTTACAATATTTTTGCTTCTTTGACTAAATATTATAACATTGCACATATTACCTCGAACTATTACATCTAACAATAATACTGCCACCAGTGATTGAAAAATATATATTTGGTATCAAATGGATAATTTCAAATATTTGGCTACCTTTAGGGCAAGTTCTGCTATAAATAGCTATAATGAGATTATCTTATGATCTGTGATATTTAAGTCTTCTTATAAAACTCATAAAGAGGTTTTTAGTTATTAATTTTTAATTCAATGCTATCTAGCATTTTCTTTCAAAACTTTATCTTATATACATTTTCTTTCAAAGGTAAAAAATTATATGGAAGAATAACAGAGATCTAAAAAAATTTTTCATTATATTTGTAAATCTAAAAAGCAAAAATGTTTGTAAATCAACAGGACTTTTCTTTTTTAACACAGATCACATAAATTTATGTAAGTGCAGTGTGTTTTTCACCCTTTGCAGTGAATATGTTCCTCCTTTCCAATCAAAGTAATAGTTTATTTTTTTGTATAAATGAAAATGTATTTTAAACCCTCTTTCAGAATAACATAATTTAAGGGAATCTATTTTGAAATGGATTATTTGTCTGAAGAAAAGTTTGATTAGGTTTAAAATTCTATCCAAACACAGATTTTAAAAAAAGTCTTACAAAAGTTTTGTTAATATCAGTAACTCAAATTGGTTTTCTAACCCATAATTAGTTTCATTAACCCCTGGATAATACTGTTAGCCTCTGAAGTCTCTTGTGGCTCAACAAGGGGGATCTGAGAAGCATAGAGAGAAAAACAACAAAAAAACAACAAAGCGATTAGCCCATAAAATAGGCAGTAATCAATTCCCTATGATAACAGCACTTATAATACCATTTGTAGTCCCCAGAAGTTTCAGGCCTAGGAAAAATATGGTGAGAGAAATGAGATGTGAATAAAGGATTATCTTTTGGAACATGGATTAATAGTATAAAGATCTTTAGGACAGTGGAAAACTTTACTTTGATAATTTCAATTCAAGGTCTTGAATGAGACAACTTCATTAAATAAGCATTCTCAGTCATTACCAGAGTATCATTTCTACACTGCCAAGATTACAGAGAATGCCATAATTAGAATCTTCAATAGCAAAAGAAAAATTATTGTAATACTATTGTAATACTTTTCACCTGAAAAATAGAAACTTGCTTTCTTTTATCTAAAATAATGTAATGCCTAAAAGGCTGCTGAATTGCAATTATTTGGCTTAATCTTTATATTGCTAGCTAAATGATTAATCCATCAAACTTAAAAGTGCTTTTGCAGTACTTTTGATGGGGAATTTATTTCTATCAATGGCCTAGATTTCCTCTATTTTTGTATAGAGGCCATTGGACTAGAACGGTTTACAGCTGTGGTTCTCAGACTTTGGTGTGCATGTCAACCACATGGAAAGTTTATTAAAATTTCTGGGTCCTACCACCAGAGTTTCTGATTCAATAGGTCTAGAGTAAGGCCTAAATTTTTGTATTTTGAAGAAATTTCTTGGTAGTATTTATGCTGTTGGTCTGGAGGTACTTTAACAACAGTGAACCACGGGTTTAAATAAGGCAAGTGGTTAACCCACAAATTATTTTGTTTGAATTTATGTTCTATTTTTTAATTGGAAAGATGTTATTTATTGTCCAAGGGAAAATGTTTAAAATATATTGCTCAGACATAATTTTTAAAAATGCACTGAGCTCTCTGTTGTGTCTTAGGGATTCTCATTCAGGACTAATAGAAATTTCCTTGAGACAGAGACCTTTATAATTTGAAGTCCTAGTCATGGAGGAGCAATCTATATATTTAAAAAATTATTGGCCCATGACCTCCATCTCCTATGCCCAGTCAAATCAATTAATTTAAGAGGACAGATAAAATCAGTTGAACATCTCCTTGCTTGCATTATATTTACTAATAATTGACTTATATGGAACCAATTTCTGGAACTGTTAATGCATTGAACCTTGCTGACTTTGAAAGAATCTTGATCTAGCCTATACTTTTCTTATCTCCTTTGCTTGAAAAAATTTGTGATCAGATTTGTGATGCCAAATTATTAACATATGATTCATAATGGGTATATTCTCATTGTAAACAAACTCTTCATAGCTCAACTACCTTTTGTTCAATGAAATATCCACTATGAAGAAAGGTACTGCTGAAGTAAGAAAAAAAGGAGAAGAAAGTCCATTTCCAGGATTATGGCAATAAAAAAGAGCTTAAGTTCTAAAAAGGGTTTTTCCTTCATTTGACCTAATAGAATTACACAATTTTAAGATAGAAATGGTTTCTATTGCTCATTTCCCACACATTATCTTCATGAATATACCTAATGTTATGACTTTTACTTTTAGCCTTTCTCTCATCGCCTCAGACATTCAGCAAAACACCAGAGACTGTCTGTCTTGTCTAGAGGAGACTGGCAGTCTCTCCATGGACATTCTACTTTTAAGGTTACCTGGAATTGATGACCTGCCATCTTCCTCAATTGTCCCAGGGTGACTTTTGTTATTTTCACTTTTCCTCATGGCACTGATGTTTTTTGTTCATTAGGCTTCTCTCACATTTTGGAGTTTGCAGAGATGCTTCTGATGTAAAATGCAATGCATATTCTGTTATGTGTAGTTTTTTGGAATAACATGGATAAAAATTTCCACAAGTAAAATAGTTTGATGAAAATTCAGATGTAATAATATTAAAAATTACATATAAATATTACAAATATATATGATACTGAACCTAGCAACATCTGGAATGCATAGCATTTCTACATGTGAAGCCTTAGCAGGCCATTACATACAATAATTTAGGAAAGACACCGTTCTTCATACCACGTACCTTCTTAGAGATGCTACCTACTTCCCATTGTCAGAGCTCTTCCTCAATCCTTGTGGATTGGAAAAATGAACATGTAAATCTAATATTGGTATCTAATCATCTCTCCACCCACCACCCATTTTTGGAGACAGGACATTATTAACACATTAGAGGTTGGAAGCACTTTGCAAATGTGTTTCTTTTATTTTCTCCTAGAGGTAATGTCCATCCTTGCTTTTTTTTTTTTGTTTTTTGAGTATTATCATCTAGAATTTTCACCTAAACATTGTTATATTGTTTAGTTTTCCCAAATCTTAAACTTTAAAACAATTGAATCATACTGCATGAATTTGTAATTTGGCAAGGTGATTTCGAGATTCATTCACATTGATGAGTATAGATTGAGTTCATTCACTTCATTGATAATATTTCATTGTATGAAGATGCTATAATTTATTTATCCACTATACTACTGATGAAGTTTTGGGTTGCTTCCAGTTTTTTCCTCTTATTGACAATACTAATGGATGTTCTTAGATATTTGTCTAGAGAAAGATTACTTGATTTCCTCAAAAAAGATCTTTTTAAACATAAAATTACGGTTCTTGCCCACAGCAGACCTTTAAAAAACCTTGACTAGTTAATTTCAATAATTTGATAGTTGATTTCAGGTCTTTTAATATTTCCTAGCAAATATGTACAGGTAACACAAATAAAATATAAGGTAAAGATTTAGTAATTGTTTAATTTACTTGTTCCAGAGGGAATTATACATTGCTCAAGAAAACACAGCACAACTCTGAAGGGATAACTCATTTCCATTATGTGTGTTCTTTGCTAGGCCACCAAGCAAGAACACATTTGTCCAGTTAAGTCCTTTTAAAACCTTCCCGGATGAGAACAGATAGAAACAAGTTCAGTAAGCCAAATATTTGCCCAGCTGACTTTTTCTGTCAAGTTGGTTTCTATAAGGGTGGCAGTCAATTTTCCCTTTAAGTCTCCTTCTGGCCCTTCTGTTACTATTCAAAACAATTCCATTTCCATCAAAAAGCGTTTATTAAATACATAGTTGTTCACTGTATTGTAAATGAAATCATGATTGGAAAATGGATTAGTACAAAGGGCTATAGCTCACTCACTTTGTTTAGACCATATCTTATGTCAGGATTCTCATTATAATACCAATTATTTCCATACAATTTGAATGATTTATATACCAACAAAGGCCTACATATTAGGAAATAAGTGTAACTATGATAATATCCCTGCAAATACCTGCAACCCCAGGGAGGCCTGAGCTGGCTCATCATTATTCCCCTCTGGCAGGATATTTAAGAGGTCAAGCACTTCCTGCCTTGGAATTAGGCTTATCTGTGTTTTCTTGGCAGAGGTGTTGATTATGATGATTTTTTAGATATTCCTGCACTGACCTTTCTGATCTTTTTTGGGGGGGGTCTTTTCTTACTTGAATATCTGACTTCTAAACACTTGGTTCATTTCTTTTGTTTCTTCTTATTTGTTTTATTATTTTTTATTACGTTAACAACACTGTCACATTTACAACACTATATATGACTTAGAAGAATAGGCTCACATCTCCTTAGGTGTATGTCACCACACCACACCCACCACCACAGCACCCAAAGTCCTTTACTACAGACCACTGGGCAAGCCCCCTTGGTTTCCACTCTACCCTTTTGTGTCTTAATAGCCGTTACTCTTTATTATCCAAGTAACAAATGATCATTGCAGATACTGTTGAAGGTGTCCATATTTACAGTTGAGATGTGAGTATTACTCCCAGCAGTGAGCCACATTTTTAGGTATTATGCTTGACTTTACCCACTTAAACAAGCAGGTTAGCAAGGAATCCAATCACTCTTCCCTGACACTCAATTCCTCCCTAACCTCACTTTCCTATGAGAAGCCAGTTCTGCTTGCTCCTGTCTTATTATCAGCTCTATTGCTTTTATATTTATTACAATTAAACAATGACGAAACAATTCCTATGACTAAAATTTCTTTAAATTCAATTTGTAAATACTTCTAACTTGAAAGTTATAGAAACCCTCTTACTACAAGAGTGCCTGAGATTGGCTACCTTCTCTCATCTTTTCTCTATGATATCTTCCTGCTAAGACATTAGAACTGCAGTGAGGTGTAACTCAAGTGTTTCCCATTATAATATTTTATTTACTGTAATTTATGCTTATTGTAGTATAATGGGTATTTGAACTCATCATCTTGATAAAATTTCCATTTAAACATGAATTTCAGATACACAATGACTTATTTTTTAGTATAAATTGCCATGCAGAATTTGGGACAAATTTATACTTAAAAAATTTTGTTGTTTATTTGAAAATCAAATGTAACTGTGCATCACATATTTTTATTTTATATATATTTTACATCATTTTTTATTTTATATATATTTTACATCATTCTTTCTTTTTGTGCAATGTATGCTTTCTCCTCTCAGGCACAGTCCCTATCAAATTCCCACCACCAATTCAACCATGCACCATCACCATAGTCCCTTGTGCTCTTCCCTTCTTTGTTTTCCTGGAGAATGTCTTCCTTCCCTGGAGACTGTCTCTGATTTATAGTCAAATCTTAATTTTGTTTTTTAATTTATTATAATTATTTTTTTCCTGATCCTTTTGTTGTTTCATATTCCTGCTATAAGTGAAACCATCTTTTTCTTTCTGGCTTATTTTTCTTTTTCTTTCTGGCTTATTTCACTGAGCATAATCCCTTCAAGCTCCATCCATGTTGCTGTAAAAGGCATGAATTTCTCTTTTTTTGAATGTTGAGTAATATTCCATTGTGTATATGTACCACATCTCCTTGATCCAGTCATCTATTTGCGCATCTGGGTTGTTTCCTATCTTACCTATTTTAAATAGTGCTGCAATAAACATAGGGTTGCAGGTGTCCTTTTGAATTAATGGTTTTGTGTTCTTTGGGTAGGTACCAAGGAGTGGAATTGCTGGATCATATGGAAGCTCCATTTTTAGCAGATTGAGGAATCTCCAGACAGCTTTCCATAGTGTTTGGACAAGTTTGCACTCCTGCCAGCAGTGCAGGAGAGTTCCTTTTTCTCCACATCCTCACCAACATTTGTTGTTTTCTGTTTTTTTTTAATATGTGCCATTCTCACTGGTGTAAGATGGTTTCTCATTGTAGATTTGATTTGCATTTCCCTGATTACAAGTGACAAACATTTTTTCATATACCTGTTGGCCATCATATATTTTGGTTTGCTAAATCTACCCTTTGAGCTGGCAGACTTCACAGCTGTCAGTAGATGTTGGTTAGTTCTTAAACACTGCCCCATCCATCACCTTGCTGCTGCTTTGTGGCTGGTGTTGCAGTCAAAGCTGGAGGCAAACCCCAAATCCAGGAATCATTCAGGGTGGCTGGTATCTAAGAGGGTATACTTAGGATGAACTTTTTGCTCCAGAAACTTTTGCACCAGCCAGTGCAAATTGTTGTCCAGTTATTCTTCAAGGTTTCAGAGAAGGATCAACTTTCCCCTATTACCTTTGAAGTGCCCATTAGAATAATGATGCTCCATGGCAAATTATCCTGATTCTATCTTTTAAGATCCATACAAATAATTACTTCAGGATAACATAGCCTACCTGATTTGGGATAAGTTTACCTATGAAGAACCTCACTTCTCTCAACTAACCCACTTAATGTTGGTGGGTTTTTTTTTTTCCCTGCCCTCATGGTTACTTTATTCCTGTGGCTTTTTGCTTTCCTTGTCACTGGGTCTCTCTTGGGATTATCCTAATCTATCCTAACAGATTTTATGATCTTGAACCTTAGGGAAAAGTAATTTGAGTTCCTGTACTCTTATATCCCAGGAAGTTAGTAATCTTATGCAAATAAGATTTCCTCAAGCAATTCCAAATGCACTGATGATAGCAAGAGCAGTTTCTTTTGAACAAGGTGGAAGGAAGGAAGGAAGGAAGGAAGGAAGGAAGGAAGGAAGGAAGGAAGGAAGGAAGAAAGGAAGGAAGGAAGGAAAGAGTTAGGGAGGTAGGAAGAATGAAGAAAACAGTTTAAAGTTTTGTCTTTTGAGAATTAAAAAAGGAAGGAAAAATATGTGAAGTGTATTAGATACAGTTAAATCATAAAATGTAATATTCTTTAAAATTAGAGGAAAATAATAACCCATGAATATAACATCTCTGGCCTTCCAAAGAGTTTTCTGTGCATTTGTGTGTGTTTGTGTGTGTGTCTATTTCTGTGGGAGTGTATAAAAATCATGCACACAAATGTGTTCACTGTCTACAGATTTTTTTCACTTAATGCTATATTATGAATATCTTTCCATATCATTAATATACTTCTAACATTATTTTATTTTATTTTATTTTTTAAAATATTTATTTATTTATTAAAGAACTGGGGTACAGGCCAGATGTGTGGGGGGTGAGAGGATTCTTAAATTCTGTTAGGATAGATTAGGATAACCCCAAGAGAGACCCAGTGACAAGGAAGGCAAAAAGCCACAGGAATAACGTAACCATGAGGCCAGGGAAAAAACAACAACAAACCACCAACATTAAGTGGGCTAGTTGAGAGAAATGAGGTTCTCCATAGGACTTCGGTCAGTCATGATCAAAGTACACTGCTGAGGGGAGCAGCAGGCGAGTCGGGGGAGGTCTGCCACACCATGTGGGTATTTCCGTGGCTGGCGGGGATTGAACCTGTGCTGCAGAGGTGGCGGACAGCTTCACAGCGCTGCGCTCAATCT